CCAGTCCGCAGAGCACAGCCTGAAGTCCTGACACGCTCTCACACGTGCACACGCACACACACGCGCGGGCACGCTGTGGGGCAGCTGAATCAGTAACGTCTATTACCTCGTACACGCCGTGTTCTGTGGTGAGGACGTTTAAACCTACTCTTGTGATGACGTCCCAGTACACGCTGCGTCGTTGGCTAGTCGCTGTGCTGGACCACAGAGCTCTTGAACTTACTCCTTCTTTGTCAATTAAGAAAAATGGAATAAAAGGAGGGAAAAAAAAGAGCCCCTTGGGTGGGGAGCACAGTCCCCAGCGAGGCTGGTGTGACACGGGCCTCGCTTTGCTCCCGAGGACAGTCGTGGTGGACGAGCCCCGCAAGGCATGCCTCACAGAGGTTGCGCTGCACATGGTGGCGCTGGCCCCAGGGCGTCTTCTGCCTCAGAGGGGGTGCCAGCACCCCACGCGGGCGTCCCCGCCTTCTGAGACGTGTTCCGGAGTGTGGAGAGGACGGGGTGATCTCCTGGCTTTCTTTCACGTATTTCTTCTATTAGGGGAAGTACATGAGGCAAAAGGTTGGCAAGGAGACGTGGCCACAGCGGCGACTTCGCCTGGAGCGGGCGTGCGGGTTAGGGTCGTCCCTCATCGCAGCCCATGCCCTGCTGAGCCTCCCCCTGGTCGGGAGCCAGTAGGCACAGGGGCCGGGAGACGTGTCCCGGGACTACTAGAGGACAGGGAGGAGCACGCAGGCTCGCACTGGGGCGGCCCCGGCCCGCCAGGCTTGCCGTCTGTGTGGGTAGAGACACCCCAGTCGCAGCAAGGCTAGGACAGACGCCCTGGGGACCCTCCACCCCCACAGCTGATGTGAAGTCTGTGGCCTGACGCCCCAGCTCTGGGCTTGGCCTGTCGGGAAACCCCAGTGGTGCCCCCCGGGAGAGGTGCTGTGGCCAGGGGGTCCCGGCATGGTTCGGCTGCAGCGGCCGAAGAAGCCAGCCACACGTGGGCACCTTGTGCTTCAGGTGGCTTTGACTAAGTCTCCCAGTTCCTGGTGGTCCCAGGGAGACACGAGCTGCATGGGTGCTGAAGGGTTAAGTTGCCACGTCCCCGTGCTGGGCAGGGCGTCCCAGGGCGCTGTCCCTGCCTGCACACCGGTGCTATATAATGTCACCTGCACACCTGCCTCCACCCTCTGCTGGGACCCACCTGCTGCAGGACAGCTTGGCCAGCCCCAGGGTGAAGGTGAGGGGAGCAGGGCCAGGCGGGCCCAGCCAGGCTGGAGTTGGAACCGGGGCAGGAAGGGCGTCAGGACAGTTTGCTGTCCTTGGCCATCGCTGTGGCTGTCCCCATGGTGGAGTGGTGCCCCATGAAAGCAGTTGACAGACCTCTCTCCACCTTCCCCAGTGCTGCACGGACTCACCGGCGGCACTTGGCTGGTGACAGGGGTGCAGGGCATCACTCTCTGGTCATGTGGGTCCCGACTGCACCGTGAGCTGCCCCCTCCCTCCCACCCCCGGCATGAGCAGCTCCGACCCAGGGCGTGGTCCCAGGTCAGGCCTAACCTCTCCAGGCTCCGCCGTGCCCTCTACGGCGAGGCTGATGGTCAGGGCCAGTGGTCCAGGTGTCCAGGTGGCTGCTGGCCCCTCTCCCCGACCCCTTCCTGGGCAGCGGGACCTGGACCCCTCTGCCTGCTGGGGAGTGGTGGGATGTACCCTGGGGCGACCAGGCTGTGAGTGGGGTCCTGTGTGCCGGGCCGGTGCAGACTGCCCTTGTTCCCCAGGCTCTCCAGGTGGGGCAGCTGTGTAGCCTCCGACCGCCTGGGTGCTCACGCTGTAGTGTGTGCAGCAGGGATGTGTGTGTGACCTGTGGCATGTGTACATGTGTGTTGCATGTGCGGGGTGCTGCATGAGTGTGTGAGATGTGCATGTATGTTCTGTGTGCATGACCTGTGTGCACACGTGTATGTGATATGTGTGGGGTGTTGTGTGTGAGCGTGTGGTGTGTGACGTGCAGTGCATGTGGCCTGTGGCAGCACACATATGTTGTATGTGTGGGGTGGGGTGTGTGTGAGGTGTACAGGTGTGTGGAGGGGGGAGGGCTGGCTCTCCCTGCAGGTGGCAGTGAGCACCCCCAGGTGTGGGAGCTGGAGGAACAGCTGCGTCCTGGCGGCTCCCGGTGGGGAGCTTGGCCACTCCCCGAGCCCCCAGGCTGTTGTCTCCCCTGTGGGGCGAGGGCCACTCCACCACGGAGCCGGAAATGAGCCACCCTTAGGTTCTAACCCCGGCCATTTGCAGGCAGGAGCTCAAGTGCACAGAGGGTGACAGCCAGGCGGGAGTGCCCTGGAGGCCCGGGATGGTCTGCAGGCTGAGAGCCCAGGCCCAGCGCTCAGAGTGTCGCCCGCTGTGGAGGAGGCTGGAGCCCGGGGAAGCCCAGCCCTGGCATGTGGGGGTGTCTCTCCAGGCCTTCTGGAGCTTCACTCCCCTGGGATGCTAGGTGGGTGGGACTGCAGGGCTTTCGGGCACAGGGCGTGCTGGAGTCAGCCACAGCAGGGCCTCCCTCTGGGGTGGAGCAGGGACAGACTCCCCAGGGCGGCCCTGGCTGACTGCAGGAGGCACCATGCTCTGGGCGCACGAGGGCGAGGGCGTTAGAGCCATCCTGTGCTTAGACCCGCCCGGGGCCGGGCTGGCGAGGGCAGCGGCCGCCTTGCGCTGCGCTGGCTCGGAGGACGCGCTCCTGCCCCAGCGTGCAGGCTTCGCAGGCCCGAAATGAAGGCAGCGCGGGGCAGGCAGGGCGTGGGTGCCTGGGCTCTGCCGGCCGAGGGCCCTGATTCTTGGGTCAGTGGACCATGACGGAGTGGCCTGACTCCGGGGGGGGACAGCAGCCATCCCAG